AACCCCAAAACCCCGTAAAGCATAAATTCTTATTAACATATTTTGAATAGAAATAATTTTGAAATAAAATCAAACATGGACTTCAAAATAACACAGGGTTCTGAGAATCTAGACAGACATTACGACCACTATTAGAGAAACATATACTCGATCTAAGAGCGCGAGGATGACTCTCATTCTATAGATCAGGGGTACTAGGACTTCATGCAAAAAGAGAAAGAAGTAAAAGACTTGTAGACTATGAGGATTAAGACTTTGGAGCAAATTATAAAGGAGAAGATTTAAATCATTCAGCAGCTAGAAAATGAAGTGGATCAGCACTTGAAGAGAGGCAAGAATCTTGAGACATTGGTGGATGAAAGGGACTAGGTTCTAGGAGATTATGAAAACAAGTTTGATAGGATAAAGTTAATTATTCAGGAAAAAGATGTTGAGATTAGCAATTGCAAGGCTTAACTTCAAAATTACTATGAGCAATACTTGGATGAGAAAGAGCTTATTAGAAATTTGAATGATAGGATTGAAAATTTATAAGACTAATTAAGAGTTTAGGAGTACTCTTTCAAGGACAAATTAGATGAGATTATCAAAGCCAAGGACCAGGAGTCTGAAAGAGAGCAGAGATTGCTCAAGCAAAAACTGAAGGAGAAAGAGAAGAGACTTGAGAGCACGAAGATAAATGCTGATGAAAGAATGAATATCGCCTTGGAGACTAGAGATAGAGAAATCAGGCAGTTGCAGGAGCAGCTAGCATAGACGTTTTAAGATCAATCATCTGAGATATAAAAACTGAGCCTGCAGCTAAAGACTGTAAGTGAAGAATTAATCAACAGAGATAAAATGATAGAAGGACTGCAAAAAAATCAAAGCAATTAGACTGAGTTGCTTTAAAATCACATAGACAAGCTAAAAGATCTCCTTAACCACAAGACTGATATTATTAACAATATGGAGGACAATAACAGATAGTAGTTAGACCATATCAATCAGCTAAAGCAGCAAATCTCTCAACAAGAAATTAAGTTTACAAACCAGGTTCATTAATTCTAGTTTGAGAGAGATCAGATCATTTAGGATAATAGCCAGGAGAAAATTAATATGGAATAGCTATTTGCCTCTAGGGAGCAGGAATGGAATAGGAAGATAAAAGAGTTAGAAAGAGAAAAGAAGAAAATAGCAAGAGACTTCGAAACACTTAAAAGCTAACTCAAGGAAAAAGAGAGGGGTGTGAAGAGTGAAATCGAGAAAGTCTGGAATGACTGGGAAGATAGATGTAATGAGTTGGAATCTGATAAAAAGAATCTTGAGTTCAGGCTTGATGAATATGAAGGCAAGAATAAAGATCTCCAAAAGCAAATCTCTAACTTCAAAAAGGATCAGAAAAATCTGAAGTCTTCCATTGAAGAGAAAGCAAATGAGACTAAGTTGCTGCAAAATAAGTACGAACAAGAACTTCAGAAGAAAGAGAGTGATATAGAAGAACTTTAAAAGAAAATGGACTAGAATCATAACTACATGCAGTATGAGATTCAGCATTTGAAAGGTGAACTTGAAAAGTAATATAAAAAGGAGTACTATGAGAAGCAGATGCAACAGTAGAATAAAAACAATATAATCAACAGCAATAACTTCCAAAATAGAGACTTCGTAAATAAAGCCAATAACCTTATTACTCCTTAGAGTCAATAACCTTATCAAAATAATGACTTCTAAAGCTTTAGATTAGCTTTGAATGCAATTAACAGCAATAGACAATCTCACGAGAGAACTCCTCCTTAAATGAATTACAATAATAACAACAATATCAATCAGCAATCGTTAAAGCAGACCAGTTTAAATGGCTTAAACGATAGTCTTGACAATATGAGAAGAGAGTTCTATAATTAATTCAGCAACCTTATGGGTGAGAGTGTAGGATTTGCTACATCTGGAGGGGATAAACTTCAATAGCAACTTCAGATGTCTCCATTATCTAGACTCTCAAGACAGGGCATGGGATTGCAAGTTAACCCAGCTAACTTAAATCTTCAAGACAAAGAAAAAGACTTAATAATTAAAGAAATACAACTTGAGAATGAAGAGTTAAAGAGGATAATTGAGCAGATGAAAAATGACATGGAAATGGTGGTATCTGAAATCAAGCAAGGCAGGTTACAAAACAACAACGGCAATCACACTTTAAATAACGGTGGGGGAAACAATACGAACATTCTCATATAATAGGAAATCATACAGAAAGAGAGGAAGATCTTCGAACTTGAGAGAAAGCTTAAGCACAGAGATGAAGAGATAGACAGGCTTAAATAGGAAAGAGATAGATTGTTAAATATAAGTAACGAACTAAGAGCTGAGTTAAACAATGCTCAAAAGATGCTATAGTAGAACAATGATAGCTATGATTAAATGTCATCAGAATTTAAGGACCACGATATGATAAGCATCAATAAGATATATGGAAATGACGGAGGAAGGGAAACTGCTGATTTCTATGGAAATATAGAAGAACATAAAGTTAAGATCGAAAAACTAGACAACTATGCTGAAGAACTAGCAGCATAAATGAAGTCATGGATCCAATCTGGAGCATATACTCCGTCAAGAAAACATAATTTCCAAGATGACAGGAAAGTTGGAGGAGGCGGAAGAGTAGGATAAAACACTGGAGGAACCTCTTAAAGATAGAAAAGTCAATCTCCAAACTCAAGAATGAGGAAATAGGGCGAAGAGTTTTTGAGAAAAATAGAGGAGCTAAGAAATAATCTATAACTTGAAGGGTAATCACTATAGATGATGTAGGTCGAGATTAACCAAGAAAAAAGGCATTTGCAACAGTCTGAGAGGCTCACACCATCCTAAAAGAGAGCTTAAGAAAAATTAAAAAGTGCACTTGACAAGAAAAAATCTTAGGATTAGATGCCTAAGGTCAGAAATTACAATTTAAAAGAATCCAGTACTGAAAGAAGGTCCAGATCTAAGGAAAGGAAGTTCAATGGAAATGAAGAGTTCAAAGGAGATAGAAGACTTGAGACTCAACCTATCTACATGAGAGATATGGCAAACCCGAGTGACGATGAGGAAAATAGTAATATGAATCTACCCAGAAAAGTCAAATCAGGGGTAGGGGCTCATTCTAATTTAAGAAGGAAAGCCAATGACGGAGATATTTTTATGAATATAAAAAGAAAGACCCCTACTAAGAAGATTGGAGATGAAATGATTATTTGAAACTTAATTCTTTCTTGATTTATTAATTTAATGAAAAGATGATTTTAATAAGAATCGATTCATATGGGGTTTTGGGGTTTTGGGGTTTTGGGG